AATAATAAATAATGTGACTTAGTATATTGACTTATAGTTTATTGAATGTAGCTGCAACAGTAATTAAAAATTAATTTAATATTTGCTTTATCTCTGTATGGCTAATTTTAATTTAATTAATTACTATCAAATCGTACCCTGTTTTAAAAGGCAAATATTTTTTTTATTATTATTATTGTAATAAAAAAAACATAATATACTTTAGTATTATAAGGTTATTATTTCGCATGGTGAAGGAGATTGTTAACATCCTTATCGTAGACCCATAAGGTTTTAGATTTCTGATATATGTATCTTATTAAGTTCCTTGGTTCATGACCCATTTAGTTTCGATCCATTTGACACTTTACTATATTTAAAAAATAATCATAATGGTACAATATACATTAAAAATTTAAATAAACATGAAACATAACCTTTCTAACTACTAACTTGAGACTAGTAAATACAGGCTAGTATCTTATTGTCGTTAATGCAAATGAAGGCTTTAGGACGTGAGGGGCATCTTATAGAGCCTCCAGGTTGTATCGGCACCTGTAAGGTAAATGTCACCGGAGTGGTGATTGTGTAAACCATTATACCCCACTCATTACCAAACAGAGTCGCGTTAAGAATCACAAGCGACCAAATTAATTTACGCAGTACAATGCACCTGCAATATTTGGCAATGATCACTGTGAAGTAATGATACTGACGCATTTTACTGTTATATACGTGGATGAAATTGTAAACATCGTTGCGGGGCAAGATGTATCCAACGGTTAAATAAATTAGGATTAGGACAGGAAAACTATGGTCATTTCTCACCATAATTTTTGTATAGGTTTCTTTATAAAACTGCGGGGTCGATACTTTAAAAAAATATGATCGTAGGAGAATATGAAGGTAAGACAGCTGCGATGTCCAAGCAGTTTATTACTAATCTTTGTTTAGTTAGCTCTAATAAATCGTCCTAATATAACTCTAGTTCCTAAGCGGTCAGAACAACTGTAGTTGTATGGTACGTTTACTCGGTATCGACCGATGGAATGTGGAGTTATGTCACCGGTTGACGGCTCGAGGTGCGCGCGCGCCCGCGCTGTTATCTAAATAGTGTAAACGCGATTTTACACGTGCGCCCGCCGCGGCAGCGCCGCCGCACACGCACGCCACGATAATTATAAGGAAATCATACGCTATAGCGAACCGATTTCACCCTACGTTAGCGCTAATCTAGCTCTTCATATTATTAACACTCGATAAGTAAACGTTTTTTTATTATATTATATATATTATTATATTATACATTATTAAAGATGACTCTACATTGTCTTGTAATGATTAAAACGAACATGTCACTCATTGGTTATATAGTTTTATATCGATGAAAAGTATTTATATACACTATTAACTAACAAATCTATCTAGATCTAAGTATCAAATATATCAACATTTTTATGCTAACAGATTTAAAATTACGTTACAATATGAAACAACATCTATCAACGTAAAAAGTAAGAAATGAAACGGGAAATTTGTCAAAGTTTTTCTGTGAACATTCGGAAAGATTCGGGGCATAAATCAAAGTTGAAGAGAGTATAATGGGGTTTGGGCCATTATTTATGCGGGAACGGATGCCGGTCGCCGCCGGAGGGTAGGTAGGGACAAAACTTGAGCGGGCGCGGGCAATTAGTCATTACATCTGCTGAGTTTTTCCGGGAGGACCGACGACATGACGGACTGAAGGACCGCGAGACTTGTCCGCGACATCTCTCGAGATCTTTACAGGGGCTCGAGTGCTTTTGTTGTTAGTTGAAAGATTTTGGTCGTTAAATCGATTTGTAACCGTTTCTTTATTTAGAAATGTCGCTGTAATATTCTTAAAAGGGTTTAATATTGGTATTTATTGTTATATAAAAGTACTAGCTGTAACCCGCAGCTTCGCCCACGTGGTCCCAGGGTACTGTGTGCACACTGGTCTGCTATACTGAACCCTTAAACTAATCAGATATTTAATCTGCCACCAGTAAGCACACATCGTCATTAGCTTATCAGCGTCCTCACTGCTGGGGCATAGGCCTACCCAATAAATGGAACGAAATAAGAAAAATCTATCGGTTTTTCTGTGGATACCGCGCATTTCTTCATAGAATACTCCAGTTGTGCTTTTTTCTATTTTAGTGCGCAGTAGAATCGACACGCCTTACAAAAAATACAAACAGAACAATTTTTCTTTAGAATAATACTCCTTTTATTGAAGCCGTTTACAAATTACGCCGTTATTTGCTTGGATATTTGACTACTATGCTGATTCTGAACTTTCAGATATAGGCTTTTATTTTAAAACAGTTTGTGCAAGATTCTACGCTTGATCGTCATTGCAACTTGACGGTCAGCTTATTCTTGCTTTCTCAATTCAGCATTATCAAATATTATCTGTCAGATGGTTGGTGTCGCGGGGTGAAATGCTGTATACTGGCAACTCGTTATTTACTTACTTATTTAGTTGCTATTTTAGATAAAACTGTTTCCTACCATTAGTAGCTCATTTCAAGTATTTTTTGATTTTTAGTCACTCATAATTATCGGCAGTTTACTACATTATTCGGACTCATAATTTAACGCCCCTCGGATAAGTAATATAGTATTTCGTCCCATGTAATATTTTATCATTCAATGTATAGCACATCGGACTCGTGCACGAGGGTCCCCTACCATTATCCTACCATCAAAAACGTAAAGGATTTAAGATTAAAGGATTTAATCGAAATTTTCGAGGTAAATACATTTGTTACACTTAAGTCTTAAGTCTGAATTCCCATTAAATTCGTTATATATAAATACTACTGCCGTAAACTTTGAATTTCTAACAACAACCGATTAGTTGGTTGAGGGGGGATGACATTTGACTAATGAAAATTGGCACGTTGAAGTTTAATAAATCACGAACGGTTAACTAAATCGAACAACGGTCTTTCTACATCCCTTGTACTTTTTATAAATCTATCCATTGATACCTACGCTGAAAATTATTCTTAATACAAAATGCTTAAAAAATATTCTTGGTACCTGGCTGTTTGGGTGGATGCCTGAACATTTATGAGGATACGCTCTGTAGTAGCGAAAAGTAACAAGTGCTTGATAGATTCGTCAGTCCTATGTTAGGTTATATGTGGCTCAGTGGCTAGAGCAGTCGCCCGGATTGCGAAAGGTTGTGGGTTCGATTCTCATCTCAGGGTGCCAGGGACCAAGTGGGTTTTATAAGCATTTTATACGTATAAAGAATAATTTTCAGTATAGCTTTGTGAATGCGAAATTAATCAAAGAAACCCACGCTATTGGAAGATAAAAAAAGTCGTCCTCAACTTTACATGTACCCGAGAAAAATTTTTGTTCAACCTTTTACAATTCTACCACTTTGTCGATGTTATTATACTCGTACTCGTATATATGTACTAATGCTAAATTACACCTTTCCAGTAACAACTTTCCTTTAATGAGCTAAACCGAAGACCGACGGAAAAGACGAAATTATAAGTGTTCTTTGTTAAGTATATAGTTGGTATGTAGCCCCAAAATTGAACACGAAAGCGACTTTGTTTGATAAAAATCGAAAAAATATTAAGTACAACAAACATTAAAAAAGTTAAAAACCCCGTTTTAAAAATACAGTAGCGTTACCTAGTGAAAACAGCTAATTGTAATTTTGCTCGATTAACAATTCCCCATTAAAATTGTTAATGAATGCTTTGATAAAAATTGGAACAAAATAAAAACTACAAATATAAAAAATAAAAAAAAAATCTCATTTAAATAGTATAGTAGCGTCATCTAGTGATCAGTAGTGTTAGCTAAATATTATACTTTGTTTTTTCGCCATATTAAATAATGCTATTGGAAAAACCGCAAAATTGAGAACGAAAGCTATTTTGTTTGATAAAAATCATAAAATGTAAAGACTACAAACATAACAAAATCAAAATCCCGTTTTAAAGTGCAGTAGCGTCATCTAGTGATCAGTATTGTCAGCTTAATGAAACATTTACTTATTGTTAGTAAAAGTACATATCGACAATCCTGTCACTGCAGTACTGTATACGAATTCCACGTAAGATTTATAGGATGCGTTGTGTGAGATCTATTCACATCTGTAATAGTTATAGAAAATTAATATTAATAGATCATAAAATTCTTATCAATTTACTAATTTAATTACTTAAAATTTCATTCATTGCATTCAGTGAATGCTTTGTCAAACATAAAATTTGTGAAAATCAAATTATCATTATATTAAACAATTTTTTTTTTTATTACCAAGAATACCTATTTTGTCGGAACTGCATTTTAAGAACTAGTAAGTGAGCGATGCCGTACGTTATGCCAACTAAAACTGTAAATCAGACATCGATTTTAATATCATACGAAGGCAACTTGTAAGCCTCAAATACGCAAGGCAGCTTAAATTATACGGGGATTGGGATACTTAAGGTAAATATATATACAGCTTTAGAGCAAATTAAATTTATTCATTGGTTCAGAATATCAGACGTTACGCCCAAAGTACCATCATGTACTCTAAAAGCTCCGATAGCAGTTCGCCCGAGAATAGCCTCACTCAGCGAACAATTACCATGAAAAAGGCGCCGTTACCAGAAGATGGACGGCTGAATTGTTGCGTTTGAATTGTAACAAATTACATCTTTCACTGTTACATTATGACTAGGGTTCCCCAAATTTTGTAGTGGCTTCGGAAAACATCTGAACAAATTGTGGTATTTTAATAATTTATATATTTTTTTGTTACAGGTCCTGTTGGTCCATTGCCGAATGCTACTACCCCTGATCCTGGCCTGAAAGAAGGTTCGTTCTTACCACAGTTCTTATATTTAATCCATTCAGCACTTGGAAAGCTATCGAATGTCATTCTCAGTTAATCAATATTTTTATTTATTATTGAATATTTATACACTTATTAGCAGCGAAATCTCGAATCGATACGATTACGATAAAAAAACTAAAACAAAAAGGTAAAAACTTTATTTGATTCACTAAATATAAAATTAAACGTTAAAATACTTAACCATTAACCTAAAAGGATCTTGATCTTTTAGTTAATAAAAAAAACTATAGTTAAATAATTAGCTTAGCTTTTTTTTACTGTTAATGTATTAATTTCATAGTACCTATTTCATTGATTTCCAGGCAGTTGCGCTGTAGGTGATGTGGTGTACATGGGTGGTGACGAGTTCCCTGGTTCTGGTCCGTGCGAGCGCTGTTCGTGCATTGCTGGTGACGTCAAGTGTTCCCGACAGCGCTGCGAGCCGCGGCCCGGCTGCAAGGCGCTGCACCGACCAGACCAGTGCTGCCCGACATATCAATGTGGTTAGTATCGCTTTTATGGATACGCTTACAGCTGTTTCGATAAAGAAAAGATAAACATATTTATATATATGAAACAGGAAACATATTCTTGTAAAGTACTCGTACTCGATGAATAAAGGTGGAACAGGCATTCTCAGTATTACAGACGCACCCAAACATATGAATTTTATTTATCTAAGGAATTAAGTTTGTTAATAAAAAATGCTTTAAAAATACATCAGCCTCTGGTACTGTGGTATCTTTCGCAATCAGGCAACTGCTCTAACCATTGAGCTACTCAGGACCCAACAGGACTGACGAATTGATCAAATATAAGAATTAAAGTTTTAATGGAAGTTCTCATTGTCTAATTGTAAGATAAAATCATGAAACTTCATATTGAGGTATTTTACCCCATACAATGAATACAAATATTGTTTTAATGTAGTAATGTGTAATTAATTAACTATACCACGCGAACGAAGTTACGGGACAAAAATAGCTTTCGTCTATAAACGAAAATCTATACAAATTATTGAGCTCCAATACAGTATTTTAAATTAGTTCCTGATTTTCTCACCAAATGCATTATTCAGTTGCAATCTTGGATAATGGCCAACAGGGCAATAACTGTTTCAATAAGGTTCCAATGTATCGATCTCAACAGTCATGATTTGATTTTTAATACTATTTTGTGTCGGTGAAATTTAGAATTCTAAAATCTGTACTTGTATACTTTCAGAATGTGAGCAAGATGGTCGCACATATGGTAATGGTGAGAAATTGGTGGACCCAGCAGACCCGTGCCGCGTCTGTTATTGCCAGGGTGGTGAGGTGGTGTGCAGACGGATAGCTTGCTTCCGAAGAGATGACTGCCAGCCGCGACTTGTTCCCGGTCGATGCTGTCCGGAATACGACAACTGCCCACTCAGAGGTAATATTTTGAAAACTTACAATACCAAATGGAGAGGTTGACTTACGTTATAGAAAATAACTGTCACCTTAAAAAGATGCTATTTGTTACATCTCAAAGCTCGTGATTGATAATTGGATGATCTACCAATTGAGTTACTAGAGACCTTAAAACTATCGAATTCAGTTTTTTAGAAAGTTATTAAAAAAAATATTGTTAAATATTGCTACTTACATTAGTTTTTCTTTTTCTATTCCAGGAGTGACAACTATTCCTGGTATTGCGCCAACTTCTTCGAGTATATCCTCTATCGATAGTGAAGAACCTAGCGCTGTTCCTCCCGTATCTAAAGAAAACCTAAAACATGAAATCACCATCAAAGAAATAACTCCTGTTTCGGAAATACCAGTTATTACAGACGTTAAGATAAAAGAAATTCTCCCTTCGCCTAGCATAGAAGTGGCTGAGTATTCTTCATCCAAATCTCCACTCATCCCTAGAGAAGCCACATCTGAGAAGAGTCCGAACAGTCAGCAAGAGTTAACAGAGCGCCCTGTAATAATTGAAATTCATCCATCTTCATCACCAGTATTTATAGCGCCTTCGTCTCCTGAAATTGTAGCCTCATCGAGTGAAATTTCAGAAGTGAAAACTACTCATGATTTAACACCCTCCAAAATAAGCCTGTCGACACAAGATTCAACCAATAGTGAAATTTATCCATCACAAGAGCCAGTTTTGGGAACTGTAGGATCACCATCTGTTATTCAAGAAGTTATTCCAGTTGCCACAACCACAAAGCCTCCTATTGTATTAGAGGAAGATGACCAATCTCTTTTCGAACATAATCCAGCTTTCCCCCCTATCCCAGATGATTTATCACTATTGGGTAGTCATCAAGATGAAATTAATTCTGATCCAATTGTAGAAGATCACGTATCTAGCAGTCATGATGTGGTGAGTGTAACAAGCACCACAACCGAATCTCATATTGTAACGGAAAGTCAAAGCACAACTTTGAAACATAATACTGAGACAACGACATCAGCGTCTACTTCCGAAATTGTAAGTAAAGGGACAGAACCAGGTACTACGTCGTTTACGTCATCTCCCAAACAAAGCCCAATGCTTAATTTACGTTCAGCTATTCCTACAGAAATATTAAATGTACCTTCTTATGCTCCTGAAGATATTAATGGAGAACTTGATGATGTCAACGAAACAGCATCAATTTCTGAACAGACTCCACCTGCAACCACAACTGAGAATATTGGTAAAACTGATGGATCGGTTTCCACAGAAAAGTCTACACCTAACGTTGACAAAGTTTCCACAAATCTTAGTATTCCGGGTATTAAAATATTAGAAGTTACCACAGCTCAAAACGTAGATATATCCAGTACAAAAAGTATAAATGAAAAACCAACCACTTTTGTGGCCAAATCTAATACAGCTACTGAAATAACAGCCCAAACGGAATTCAGTTCATTGCCTATTGAAACTAGTGATCAAAATCCATCTGAAGAAATTGGGAAGAACAAAGTATCGACATTATCAGCAGAGACTACTGTTATGGATGTGGCTCCAACGAATTTGTCGCCTGTCGATGGAGAAGAAATTACGGCTTCGAAAGAAATCACAGCAAATACTGAAACTCAACCTCTTGAAAATATAGAAACTACTGATTTTATATTAACATCCATCGGTTCATCAGAAACGGCAACAGATGCAGCAATCGAAGTAATCAAAGTATCTCCTGAAGTAGGTAAAAATGCCGCTATCATAGAATCGAGCGAAGGAAAGAAAAATAATGTTTTGAATGACCTTATCAATCTTGTTGGAGACGTAGCGTCTATCAGAGACCATAATGATAGCACTGTCGGACCTCAGCATGTGACTAGCGCTCCGAGTATTTCTGAATCGGAAGAACTGATCCCAGTAAATGCTGGCTACAAAAGTAAAAATAATAATTGGAACGTAAATTCTATTACTGAAATTCCAAAAGTAAAAAATTCAGGCCCAGTTATTAAGCAAAAAGTAATCGAGATAGAAGATGATGAATCTGAAAGTCTTACTGACTCACCACCCCCCAATGACAAAGTCGAGCCGACTACACGAAGACCCATCATCGATAATGTTTCGGATGACAAACTGGAAAACCAAACTGAATCAGAAAAAGATATAGAAATAATCCCTCAAACTTTTGTGCCTTCAGTAGACAGGAGACCTACTAAAGTTGTTATGAAAAAGAATAACGAGAAACCCCTTTCCGATAACGATTCCATCGGAGGTCATACTGCAACGTCGTCGGCAGCCACTGTTGACGGAAACGATTCTTCTTCATCTAGCGAATTTACAACGCCATCTGATGTTGAAATCACATCCACAGAAAGTAAAACCAGTACCGAAGATGTTGCAAGCACGTTTTCAAGCTCAACAGCGCAGTGAGAGCCTTCACCGGCTGCAGTCGATGGAACCTCAGCTTTTCAGCATTTTGTAGTGAATAAGTTTCGTTATTGAAACTATAAGTTAAAGTAACCACTATTAGATTTACAGTCGTATACATCAAACCGATCAGAAAATTAGTAAGTCAATTAGGTGTCCGGACGCGATATAGGCTCGTGGCTGGCTATATATACTTTTAATTTAAGTAGACGACCAGTGATCACTGGTCCAATTAATTATGTGTATTAGCTGGACAAATTATTTATAATAGTTTAGTTTTAGGGAACGTGAAACGCCGGTCGGACGCGAGACGCGTCTACCGCAATGTGTCAAATTATGAAAGTGAAGTATTAGTGGATAGATCTTCGTGTTAGCGTATAAGTTATTTATTTGTTTAGTGAGAGATCGTGAGTAGAGTAATCGATAAGTAAGCAACTAAGCTAGTCAACAAGTGACTCCGCGGTATTCCGCAACACGTTGCCATTACTAGCGCATACTCCGCCGCGTGCGCGGGCGCAACTCTGTTTACTACAACGTCGATTAAGAACAAACTCAACTTGTATAGATGTTAACAGAAGCTCATGCCGAAAATATATTATTATATTAATGAAACGTAACAAAATTTGGTACAAATCGAATTTGATATTTATAGATTTAACCATACCTTATGAACTGTAATTATAAAAGTAGATCTAGTTGGTATAGATAAATTGATTGTGATCGCACATAAATTTAATTTATTGCACTCGATGGCGCCGTATTTATGTTGGGTTAGTAGGAGAGGCTCATGTCGGGATGGTTGGCCGACGCCGGCTGCGGCTTCTTGCTCCGGAAGACTGTATCTTTTCCCGGGCAATAAGCGCTCGTGCTCACTGTATTATTTAATTATCCAATTATTGTTTTTTTTACAAATAAAAAATTCTAGACTGATATGATGTCCTTTTTTTCACATCTTACCTGCGAATCTCTGTTATTTTCTACAACAACGCACACCTAGTTCTAAACTAAGACAACTCAAAAAACGAATGTGGAGGTCAGACAATACATTTTTTTACGTGGCAGGAGCGCGACCACTGTTGATTCAACAAAAAAAAGCTAAAGTAATCTAGCGGCTCATCCTGGAACCTTTATTGAATCTGTTATTTTGGATAGATGCGTATGAACACCGAGTATTTGAATATTGTACTAAGTCAAAACTCACTCAAATTTTTGAGTTGTCTCAGTTTAGATCTAGGTGTGCGATATATATTTATAATGGAACGAATAGTGACAGACACCTTTATGAAGTATATAACGAACGCTGAGGAATGTTTATCGAAAAATGTATCCTTCACAAAGATAAAACAAAAGACAATGATAAAATTGCTTGACTTAACTAAAAGCTCGAAACAAATTCCTTTCGCTAGCATGCACGCCAAAAAACGTCCGGTTATATTTTAGAATTTATTTGTTTATCTCTCACCCCGTTCGATTTTGAAAAAATTCCTGAACAACACTGAACATTGAATAGATACTTAATATATACCCATCTTTTCCTTTATTTATCAGTCCATTATGAAATAAAGATTTTTAGCCAAGTTACGTAGTATGTAGACATAGTCTGTGGCACTACCGGGCTGACATCATGGAAAATAGTGATTTAACTATTCGCTTTTATGCTAGTTTGGTATCTGCTGATAGAATTCAACAGACATTAGATTTAATTAATTGCTATGGTTTAGAACAGCTTTTCCCAAAGAGGGTGATAAAGCCCTCTTGTGGGCGCTGCAGGCCTAAATGGGGTAATTTTCGTAGATAGTAGATCGCGGGAAATCATGTTTGAACAAGTTTGTCTTAAATAACCCGAATTGTGCATTCCTGTATCGATCGGCTAGTTAAATTCGGATTCATTGAAAATCCAAACAAACCGATCATCGCCTTTGTCTTCTATGTCTAAGGCATTTTCGAATGAAGCAATGAAACCTTCATGACCGCAAGATCACTTGAATAAAATGCAGCCAGATAAGAAAGACAAGAATGTAGCATATTTTTTAGACCTGTAAAAAGCATAATACTCGGCCAAGTGTAGCTAAACTATTTTCGGCGGCGACTTCGAGCTTCGCACAATATCTCTTTGTTAATTGCTCAAGAAGGCAAACGACATAAAAGGTTTCATAGCGCACTTAATAATTAAATTCCAGATTTCCTTGCTGTATATTTCGTTATTCATAGACAACGCGTTGCGTTATTGGTCGCTACAAACTTAAGTGAACGAATATTTCAATCACTGTAATATGTCTTCAAAGCAGCCAATAAAATCAGCAACAGCTCCTTGAATGATATATTATTTCATCAGCTTTGTGTTACTTATAATGAGGATTTTAACCGTTTGTTGTTTCATACTGAGGTTCATTGGCTGTCAAGAGGCAATTGATTGCCTCCATTTTACAACCTGTTTAACTCTGTGATAGAGTTCTTGGAAACCAAAGATACAGTGGGGTGAATTGGAGCCGGTGGGTTCGTGGGCAGATTCTTCAATCAAAAATCACATCACAGGAGCGAAAATGTTTTAATGCTTTTCAACATATATTATGTTCACATGGCCTTCCTTCGATTCCTTCCTTCTAAAGATTTCCTTTTCATTGTACAAACGTCAAAGATCCTACCACAGACTAATACAGATATTATAGTATTCGTAAGATACAGAATTGCACAACAAGGTCATTTCATCAAAGAATGATATAGCTTACATGACAGATAGACAGTATAAATTGTTCAACTAAAAGAAACAAGAAAATAAATGTAATTAAAACAAAAAACGTCTTTGCTGCTTTTGCAGTCAAACTCCTTCTACACAACTAGAAGTATATGTGTAGACGTAAATTTCACAATTTTCCGAATTTATTAAAATAAGTAACGAAGATTTATTTGTCTACTACTAACATTTGGTAAACCTCTATACTGACTTCACCGGACGATATCAGGACATTTTTAATTTAAAAATACCAGGGGTGTTGCATCCGTTTTCAAATGTCACCTAAGCGGGAAGAAGTAGTCATAGAATTGACAAGAAAAGAGGAAATATAAATCAAGTTCAAAAGTGGTTACCAAGAATGTTGGCAACAAAAATCGATCCCGCAATTGTACCCTGAATTGTGGTAAATCGTTCAACGATTCTTTATAGCATTCCCATCATCATATTTGTGTGAACGTGGATTTAGTGCTGTGGCAACACTGCTTACTAAAAAGAGAAATCGTTTGTATGTTACCGAACGTGGAGTCTTACGACTGTTCTTGAATAAATTGGAACCTGATATCAACAGACTTATTAAACAGCATCAGATTCATCCTTCACATTAGTTTTTATATAAGAATCAATTATGTTTCTTTTATTACCCGATTGCGTAACGCAAAGGAGGGTAATATGTTTATGAGTCTATGTATGTATGTATGTTCGTTACAATATGGCATTATAGAGACCAAACGGCTTGGCCAATTTTGATGATTTATACTTCAATGGATTTGTCTTAACCATGCGAGAGTCACTTAACACATAACAGTAATCAAAATTTTGTTTTAATTTATCCTCAAATTGGGCAGTAGACAAAATTAGTTTGGAAACCCCTGGTTTAGAAGATATACTTGTGGCGCTGCTGGACTAAGATCAGCCTAGATGTGCCAATATATTTGTGATATATAATGATTCTTTCAAATATCTATTTGAAACAATCAAAGCCTTTTTTTACTCGGCGATTCAATACCTCATTCGGTCACTACTTCAAAAATATTAAAAAATACTGTAGTAAACTTAACAAGTTAAAACGAGCTAACTTAGATTTTTTTTTAACGCAGGAGAAATGCATTATAGAATCTCGATGGTCAAACCTTCTCCCAAAATATTGACGTAATGCATTGAAATACGTTTTAGGTAAAAGAGAATTTAGAGATATATAGAGAGAGGTAAGTAGTAACCGTAGTTTTTTAAATGACCCGGAACTTTTCCCTTGTCAGTTTATGTAGTTTTTGACACGATCGTTCTCTATTTCGTTTTTAAAAACGTGAAGAATAATCGGTTCAATATACTAAATTGCTATTGCTTATGGTTGTAGGCGTTTCGCTTTCTATGAAATCCTTAAGTTTTTTTTATTAATTTTTACCTTAAAACTATATCATAGTTTACCCAGTCAGTATCTGCAAGACTTGCTGTGTACCTCACGCTCACACATTAAAAAAGAAACAGTACAAACGGCAACATATTTTAAGGTAAAGTCTAACAATTCTTGAAGACGCTCCGTGGAGGGGCGAAACACGTGTAAAGTGATTTTAGCGAGATTTGTTACCAGTTTTTCAAAGGGTTCCAATTTTCCGCACTTGTCTAAGTGAGACAACCAACTTTTCACGTTCATTGTACGTGAAAAGTTGGTTATCTTACTCCACTTAACCTTTACGGTGTCTTCATAGGCGACACTAATTCTAAATGGTTTCTGTGAAAAGTTTGGAACACATCACCATATTGGCCAACTATCCATATCAGCTTATTTGTATGTATGTAAATTTCTATTATTTATACTTAATAATGATGATTAATTTAACGTATTTATAGATTTATTATATTGATATGTCAATTGATGAGCTTCAATACTCATAATAATAAAAATATTGCACAAAACCAACTGTGAATCAATTGACATCCTTCAACTTCTAGCAAACTGTCGACGCCGCGACGATGCATAAGTGCATGTCACATATATGCTAAACTATGCCTAAAGGAGAGTCCACACTTGCCCACAGATGCCAGGGGGAATCTTATACAAACGTACGAAATAAAATAATAAATAAAGTGTTATGTAAGGTGTTAATATAAAATAAAAATAAAAGAAAGTTCCTCTAGTAGTTCCTTTAGTAAACAGGACGTAAATCGACAAAAATATTTTGGTTGCTTTTGTAACCATAAACGTTTAAGTATACAGATGGCATGCTCACAGTGGCGTAGCTACCAAGGGGCTAGGCGGGGCAGTGCCCCGGCGCCCTCAAGCTCAGGGGGCCCTCGAATCTTTACCAGAAAACCTCAATCAAACTCAACTTTTGAAAATTTTTACCATTTTCAAAATAAATATGACAGGTGACAACTCAATTGTGAGAAATTACAAAGTTATAAAAAGGGAATTCCCCTAAATTATTTGTGTGGGTTGACAGTGTTATTAATGTTTTCATCAATTTTTCGGATATCAATATCTGCATATTATTATTTATCGATATGCGTTTTTGTGATTCGCGATTGTGAACTTCCGAGTCAAGATTTTTTTTCGAGATTTCGTTTCGCTTTCCTTTTACTTGTAAAATAAATTAGAACACTAATATGATTGACAAAAAAAAAAGAAACTCAGTGGTGCATTTAAACGCAAACAACGCCAAGAAAGAGAATAAATTAAATAAAAATTGCCTAAAACTGACAAGTTTTTTAGTCAGCCTTCTGCAAGTATTTCTGGACAAAATATTTTTATTGGTAATTTTTGTAAATAGCTTGCATGGCGATAGGTTAAATAACAGTAAGCTGGTGCAACGTATATATTAGTAAATATATATATAATATACCCTTGAAGCTTTTCTTTTTCGATTTATTGCCCAATACCTACACCAAGTATAAAAATAATTGTTATTTATGTTGTTAGTGTTTAATAGTTAATTACCTGCCCATGCACGAAAAAGAGCTGATGATAAAGTTGCTTAGCATTTTTAAAGTATTTGTATATTTAATGATTTTACTTCAAAAAACCTTACCAGTTTTGATAGCAGTGGGCCCCATTTTTTTATTTGCCCCAGGGCCCTAGGTTACCTAGCTACGCCACTGCATGCTCATATCCGCGAATAAACAAAAGGTAGCGATTTTGTATTCATTCAAAATTGGAAAGGAGTAATGTTTATGTTCAACGGGTGTTCAATAAGAAATTTTAACAATTTAAGTTAATACTAGTTTTTGCATGCAAC